CACTGGTATTGTAGTTTTTTCTCTAGTTCCTCGGATAACCGAACATGGACACCTCGGATTCTAGTAAAGCTATCGACCGCTGGGGCAAATGGGGTGACTGCAAGAGCCAGGAGGGAGTATACAGCAGATCGATGCAATTATTCCTAACCCTCTGCGTCCTCGCAGTGAGCTGTGCCATCCGCGCACTGAAGGATGGTATTGGTGGAGCTTCATCTAGCACATCTTCGTATGTCGATCCTGAGTCCTACATCTCGGAGGATGAGGCATCAAGGAGCGGCGTTCTGACTCTCTTCGAGGACATAAGAAGACTTGGTGAAGATTGCCCGGTTCTCGGTGTTGTGGGCTCTTTCTTCCACCGACTCAAGGTCATGAGTGATGATATGTTGGTACGTGCCATCAGGATACGGCTCAGCATACTACTTTCGCGGTGCATTCCATTGCTCACTCAGCCTGGTGGAGAGCTTGCTCATGTTCTGAAGTGGTGGATGGTCGGATGCGAAGAGGAAAAGGTGGACGAAGGTGTGCTAAATAAACTTTTTCCGCATCTGGGGAATCGATGGAACAGTTATGGTCGCCATAAAGTCATATCAGAGTCCTTCTCCGGATTGCAGTTTATCAACGACTACACCTACAGCTGTCTCAAAATACAGCATCCATCGTGGTCATGGAAGCGTCGTTCGAAGAACCTCTACTACTCGATCGACAATGGTTCCTGGTCTAGGATCTTCGCCGAGCTGCGCCGACCGGGTATCTCTGGCGAATATGGTATGTGCCAAGGCACATTTGTGAGTATGACGAACTTCGAAGTGCAGGGCAACTATCTGGAAGCCCTCACTAGCTTCGTCTTGCCACACCTAAGGGATTGGACAAGCTTACTGCTCATCTACGCTCTGGCGATCCGCAAAATGCATGATCCATCCTACCTCGATGGTATTGCAGACTACTTCCAGAGCGTGGCCGGCGGTAAGGGCAACTTGCGGCATCTGGCTGACCCCAAGTCTAGTACCGCCAATGAGCAGCATGAGCAGTCGTGGAAAGAGAATCTTTCCCAGGTGAAGCATCTCATCGCCGTCGGTGCCCTCGATGAGCATCGTAGTGGGTTCTCTCGCTTAACGAACAGAGCGTTCTGTTCATAAAGCTCACCACTAAGTGAGATGTCCAAAGCCACGGCTACTGCT